CCTTTGCTCCTTCAGACTTCTCTGCTCAACCATGGGCAAATTATGGCCCCTGCCTCTCACAGGCCTGAAGGAATCTGCTCCTTTGCTAGCTCTGCTGCTCCCCTCGCGCTGCCAGCCACAGTCACCTCACTGCCTGCCGCGCTCAACAGCAGTGGAGGGAGAGGGAATTAGGAAGCTCTGACTGACAGCTGCTGTCAGAATGACTGATACAGCCATAAACCAGCCCGACAGGGCCTGTGCTGCACCCTTGCTCGCAGCCTTAAAGAGCAACAGGAGACAGCTCTGTGGAAGTGGAGGGCAAAATTCCCATTGCTTCTGACGATAACAGGGCTGCATGGGGCTGAGATCCTCCATGACACCTGAGATATCCTTGGTGCAGTATGTGGGAGCAGCTCAGGGCTGGTGAGGCCAGAGCTGGGTTCTAGCCGCAGCTCTGGGCATTCAGAAAGCAGCTATGGTGTGTGCAGCCATTCACAGGACCCTCTGACAGGCAGCCCAGCCATGTCCTCTACAGGCGGCTCTCCTCTTGTTGGGCAGCTAGGACGTGTGCCGCTGCATTGCCATGGCAGCTCAGTGCCATCCGGGGCTCCTCTTACTCCCATCGGCTCAACCCAAGGGGCTCAAACCACCTCTGCACAAGGGAAACACGAGACACAAAGTCTGCACAAAGCAGACCTCGCTCCATGGACGAATAGGAACTGGGATTTAGACAAAAGTAAATGAAAGCTTAAACTTTGCAGAAACTAAAAAAAGCTGAGCCGTGGCTTGCCTTGCTCCTGTTTATTTTACCAGCCTCAGTTTGTTATACCTACAGATTTATAGCATAAATCCATTGACATTATTTAGAAATAAAATGGATGGATGAATTTCTAACATCATTAAGGTCTATGGGAGTTTCGAGAGGCTACAGTTTCACTCTGTGGATCTGGATAGCTATGCTTTCTTCCTTACTCAAGGATCTGGAGGACCCATTTTCTTCTATCTAAACAAACATAGGTATTTTTTGCTCTGTATTCTGTAACTGACTGCAATTTCTATACAGCTCTAATCTCATCAGTGTAACTAATACCTGGTAAATGCAATATAAAGAATAATTATCTACGGCACCTCTCATTCTACAACTGGATGTTTCCAAAATGGGCAATTTTTCTATTCCAAGTGATTTGACAGTGTTTTGTATACACTCTGTAGTTGTCAACCAAGGATGATATTTACTCTTTACGTCTATAAATGACGGCCAATAAAACAATAGTGCTGTGTGGTATATCTATGAAAACCTTGTAAAACAATACAGTCAAGTCTGGCAACAAAGTCAATAATTTGTCAGTAAGGAAACCACTATTGGGCTTCTCTACCCAACCCTCCACCTTTCTTAAGCCCTTTTCTTCTGAAGCTTCACATTCATTTTCTTAATGTTTTTAACCTAGTGTCTGTGAAATTTTTATTGCTCCCTAGATAATGACATCTGATCTGAATGTAACCACACACCTCTTTGCTCAGCAACATTTGTCACAAACCATTATAAATTATCATGCTGATAGTGTGCATTGCTGGGAAACCGGAAAAGTTCCATAAATTCAAAGTACTGTATCAGTGACATTCTTGTTTATTATCTAGGTATAAAGTTTTACTAGATTCAAGATGGCTACATTTACACAGTAGGGTACTTCAGCAACATGAGACTTGTACAGCTTGCACTAAGTGCTGAAAAGCACTTACCACATGCAACAAACTCTGGAGCATTTTAACTAATATGTAGCCATATGTTTTGTCTCTTCTATTCATTTTAACCATGTTCCCGACTCCAAAAATGCGTGGCTGTTAGTTGGGCTTGCTTGAGAAAAGGCAAAAAGGCAAACAGAAGCTATTTTTCCCCTGAAGTACAACCTTAATTTCTGTTTCTTGGCCTCCTGAAGAGGAGGCATAACACTCATTAAAGTTAAAAGTTAAAAAGAGACTGTGTATTTTTTCATTATGTATATCCTTGATAACAATCTGTGGTTGACGTGGCTGTATACTTCCCGTCGAGACCCAGTATTTCCATTATACTGGTTCAGTAGTTCTGGCTAGAAGATTTTTTATTAGATGCACCTAGCTTGTGTGAACATATTTTTAATTATTTGCGTATCTTTATTCTTCAAAACTGTGAAAGTTGCGTCCTTTGGAATGCCTCCAGGGAAACAGGAATTTTCACCATGTTTGCTTGAAATTTAAAACAACTCAAATGGTTCTGATCGTCAGAAAAACATACATATATGAATTTTATTAGGAGTCATTTGAGAAATACTTATTCATTAAAGCCTAGCATAATAAGCAGGTAAATCAAGGGCATATTTTTAAAATTAATTCCAAACCCTAACATACAAAGAGACTAACTGGGAACAGCTTCAGTACAGCTAATACTTAGATTTGCTGCTTTTGATTCTCCTCTGAGAATCAACCTTTCACCAGTTTTACATTTCAATACGCCTAGCCCTCTGTATAGAGTAATATTCAAGAAAGTTAGATAAAGTCTCTTGATTTTCTCGTTGATACTAGAGAACAAGAAGGTAACCTTTCCAAAGTCACATTGTTTCCCTCCCTGGGCTCAGAGGGTCCTTGTTACTTAAGTTGTTTCAATGCTAACTAAGGTCTAAGATGCAATGAACAGCATTATAAAGAGGATTTTGGGAGCTAGGCCAGCAAGCTAATCTTCTCCTCTAGTCTACTCTAATTGTATGGGGCATTTTTTGTTCCCAGACATGAATTCCCCTATCTCTCATTTTCTATCCGCATTTCATATTTAAGTGCTTATTAATTTCCAGGGCTAAACCTTTCAATAAACTGGAGTGTAGCCTAAATTGCACATTTCTAGATTGCAGACCAAGTTGCTAATAAACTAAGTATATTAGGAAACCAAAACGTACTTAGCTGCAAAACCAAAAAATCTTGTGATATGCTTTATTGCATTAATCTCCTGTTGTACCCAGTATTTGGTGCAAGGAGTGTGTGAATTTTGTAACTAGACACTGAAATTGCAAACCACAGAGATTGTTGACAAATTCCTGTTGCTGAAATCATTTTCTATTTTTCTGGCCCTAAGTTTTTTTGGCACAAAAGCGATCCCTCTCAAGTTAAAGAAGAGCAATTTTAAATATAAGTGAATATATAAGTGAAATATAAGCTGAGTAATTTAGCATAGCCAAGAAGATTAGCATTTCAGCATAGACCAAATAACGGTAAAGTCATCACCACCGCACACTGCAAAGACAATGCAGACAACCCTGTTTAGAGACTTCCTTCCACCCACTGCCATCTCATTACTGCACTAGGTCCCCTTTCAGAGGAAGGAATAATGCAGGGGGGAGAGTGGACAATGAATATTGAGAAGGGAGCAACGGAGGGAGGGAGTCAATCCCTTCCCTGGACCCAGTTCAGCTCAGTCTAGCTCAGTGTTTAGCACAACACTATGCCACAAAGATTACTTGTTCCTCAAATAATTGTATGCTGTACACCACTTTACTGCTGTCAAAGACCATGTTGGTTTTACAGCGTTGGAAAAACATGTATTCTAGCAAGGAACAAAAAGGATTTGACACTGAAATATGCTTGATTTAATTTCCTAATCTCTATCTAAGAGGCAAAGAGAGACAGACAAATGTTTTAAAGTGTTAGCACCGACCCACAGAACAAAAGCAAAACCTGTACCAAGAAGACACAGGGAAGTGAATCATTGCCTGAGTACAACAAATTAAAAATTAACGAATGGGAAGTCAGCGTGTGAACATATGGCATGAAAATGAGCTGCAGCTCCACCACCACAGTAAAAACTCGGTTGAACGAAGAGCCAGTTTAGTTTTATGAGCATAGGGTTTTCCCGCATTATCACTCAACTATGGTACTGAAACACTGATGCGCAAGAGATTATAAAAAACAACAAAAAAAGCAACTAAGCACCCCACTGCATCATTAAAGAACTTCATTTTAAAGGAAATCAATAACTGTGATGTAAGTGATCAATTTATTAAATAATAGGAACAAAGATGTGCATGGTAAAAATTAAGTGCTTGAGTACAGTCGCTCTTTTTCTCCAAGTCCAACACTCTAACCTCATGGTCTGTTATAACCACTCCTGATGACGCTGAGGACCAGACCCTGTAAAATCTTGAATGCTCCCACAAAATGCCAAACACCAATAGCTATTGAGTTCAATCTCTTCCTGACATGCAGAGAAAACATTGACTGGTGGCGTTAGTGAACAGTAACTCTCTCTTGCAGTTGTCAGACGGGGATGAAAACCCCATGATACTCAAGAAATTTTTAAATAATGAATCACTAAAATATTTTCTTCATGAAGCAAGTAGGCTGAATTTAGAGGGCATGTTGAAGAGGGGAACTACCTGACCATGTGTTGCCTTGTGCAAGCTATGTAGTTTACAGGTTTGGGGAAAAGTGGGGGACCACTTCTGGGAGCCTCTGAATCCCCTTCTCGCTTTTGGAAAGAGATGGTCAAAGGGAATGCGAGCACAGGGGAGCACAAGCCACCTCAGCTGCCCCCTTCCTCCTCTCAGGGCACGACAGTAGAGCAGGAGGAGGGGAAAGATGTGCTACTGGCTGTAAATCAGCAGCAAAGGGAGAAAGGGGGAAGTGACGACTATCAGTCCTGCAGTCCGCTGGCCCTTAATGGGTGACAGTAAATGCCAGGCTAACTCTGCGCTAAGAGGATTTGGCAATTTATAAATTGCCTGCTTTCTGCCACAGGCTGTTTGTAGCTGAGGGGACACAAAATGAAAGGGAACAGATTTTTAAATCCCTTGAGACTTACTCAAAAAAGCACGCAGGCCAACAAACACGCAACGGTGCCTCACCCTAACTGCACCCCCATCGCGCGCATCATCACCATCGTCCACCTGCCTCTCCGTCAGGCGGGCAGAATTCAAATCCACTCCACAAAGCTCAAAAAGTAGCAAAGACGCTTTTAAGCTCCCGGCTCCCCCGCCCCGAAGGGCGCTCCGCTGAAGTCGCGGTCCTCCAGGTCGAAGTGGGGGTTGAAGTTGATCATGATCCGCTGGTAGGGCTCCGGAGCCTGGATCAGCCACTCGCATTTCTGGCTGGGGTGGTAGGACTGGGGGTAGCCGGGAGAGGTGAGGTACCCGGGGCTTAAAATTTTGATCGTGTCGCCGCACTTATCTGCAGGGGAAGGAAACAGATTGGCTTTTTTCAGTTCCCCCCCTGGCAAGCACTCAGTTTTAGCCCCACAGCAGCAAATCAACCCTGGGGGTGGTGGTGGTGGTGGTTTGCAGCCTTCTTCAAGCAAACTTTTGCTGCGTCCTTATGCCTTTGGTGCAAAGGCATCTCCACTACACTTTACCCAAGGAAAGAGGCCTGCCTCTCTGTGCCCATCTGTAAGTCCAGCAGCCGGACAGGCAGCAGGTAGCAGAAGATGCCCCATTTCTAACAGTACCCTTTTAAAAAGCCCTGAGCAAACAGTGCCCCTTACAGTGTTAAAACCTTGCATCCTTACAACAGCTTTAATGTTGGCTCAGAGGGGTGTCTGAGACTCCGTTATCTCCAAAAAGCATAATCTTCTTAAGTATGAAGTTTTAAGGAAAGCTGGGAGGAAAGCTAAAAGGATGCCATTTGACCCCCTGCCCAGCTATGGGGTAAGCCTGGTCTGTGTCACTGTTCACTGACCACTGGGATCGTCTCGGGGGATCCAAGCTCATTCACAGCAGACCCTCCCTTTGTTTTATCAGTCCATAAATCTAGGCAGGTTGAAACTATCTGTGCTCTTCAAACCCAGGCTAGCAGAGAACAAAGTGGTTTTAGTGAAGCAGAAATCATCCACTATTTATTCCTTCAAGGAAGTTTGTTCATGCTTGAAGACTGCATCAAAGTAATGGAGCAGAACAACATCCTTTCCTCTTCCCTCTGTCCCTTCCTCCCCCCAACCACCACAAAGATTTATTTCTAATAGCAAAATAGTTGCAAAAGTTTCCAGTGAATCACTAAGTGTGACTGCGAAATGGGGTGTGCTGCCTCTTGCCCCTTTGGCCAGCATTTTCAGGGTTACATTTTAAGGTTTATAGGAAAAATAAAAAGGGACAAGAAATCCAGCCTACACGGTCACTCACTTCACTGTCCACTGCAGGTCTGTGCTATCACTTTTTTACTACTATGGATTTCTTTCTATAGATCTTCAGGGAGGAAAAACTTTCTCCACACATTGATTGTTTAATTTTGAGCAATAAAATATGACAGTAAACTACAGACAGGAAGAATGTCCACACTAAAAAGCAAGACCATATATCACTACGTCCCAATAATGGTATATACAGGCTGCAGTGCTGTATCTAATACATTCCCTGTGAAAGCAAAATGGCATTCCTTGCTCTCAGCATGAATTTATAAGTGTACGGGATTTTATTGTAGGAAAAACAGGTCAAATGGAAATGAATGAGGAAGCGTACATCAAAAATGCATAAAGCTACACTCTTTACAGAAATTATTTGCCATAAATTAGGAGGGAAGGGGGTGATATGTACTCAGCTGTTATGGTCAAAACCCAGATATTGCTAAGCATGTTGCTGGGAAAGGCTATCTTATTATTTATTTCTGCTTTGCCTTTGCAGAACAGGCTGTTTTCCTCTGACCAGAACAAAAGGCATTGCAGCTCAAAGCTCAAAAGCTGTCACTGGTGATCTTGCTAATCCGCTGTCTGGGGCTCTCAGGGAATCTTGCCTTTTCCTCCCTGTGTAAGCACACTCGGAAAGTGATCCTCTCTCATTAAGCCCACTCCAGCCCTGCAAACAACATGGCAGAGTCTGGCATCTGTTAAATGCCTGAAATAAAGCAGTGCTGCTTCCAGTCACTTGACAGAGTCACTTCAGAGGACGCTGAGGTGGACTCACTACCACCAGCGCTCCTTAATCTGCGACTTCTGGGAAAGTGACAGTGTAATAAGATAATGCGGTCTGCTAGACTCCCTGGCTCTGTGCAATCTCTCTCACACTTGATTAAGAAGAGCAGTTTCTAATGACTTTGGACCATTAGTTCTAAATAAGGTTAATGAATTAATTTAGCGGACACTAGTGCGGCACGTAGGTGAAGGTGGCATTAGTAGGTCTGGTAGGTTACAGAGGAGGTTAATGGCCTTGGTGACTCCAGCAGGGCCCCTACATTAACTGCTCATGGTGGAGGCTCCTGCCCAGTAACCTACCCTACTCCCCTTCTTTTAATGGGGAGAAATGACCAACAAGAGCACCGCGTGGTCCCCTCCCACCCCTCAGGGGGTGCAGCACCGGGGCAGCCCTGGTTTGTGTGGGAGCCAGGGAGGCGGCTGCCCGCACCCCTTGACTGGGCTGGTGGGGTGAGCGAAGTGCACCTTGTGGAGCATCCCCAAGCTGGGCTTGGCGCACGCCTCCTGCGCCTTTGCTCCTGTGCCACAGCACTGGAGGAGGCAGCTTGTCCTGATTAAATTAAGCAGCCTCCTCAAAACATATTGGGAAAGAGATTAACTTCCATCATAAAACACGCGATTTTAATACTCTCTCTTCCACAACACTCCACTTGCGGTCCTTTATTAGAACAATATACCAGCGTAAGTGGAGGGTGCTCTCTTCTTTTAATTACTTTGATTAAAAACCCAGTCAGGCAAAAGTAAATATTTGATAATTAGTTAATAATAATTGCTCAGGATTTGTCGGGAAAGGAAAACTCGCACGAGCTGTTCCGTGTGCGAGAGCTAAACGTCAAGCAGTCCCACAATTAGACCGTCTTTAAAAATGCATCATGCAGTGAAATATTCACGGCGCCCTGGCATTGTTCGTGGAAGGAGGAGCACGCTGCTTTTAATTAGTTGTGTTTTCAAGGGCCGCCTGATAGTACGCTAGCTACATCAGTCATTTGTTACGGGATTTCTCTCTTGGAAGGGAGTCTTGAGCCTTCACAGAGAAGCTCAGCTTCTCTCTTGGCACTGTGCAAGTTGCACGTAAACTGCAGACTTGGGAAAGGGGCAGTCTAGGGGCTCTCCGTTTGAAGACTACCCGCAGGTACGCACACAGCTCGGGGAAAAA